CGGAGGGGGGCCCCCCCCCGGTTCCCCCAACCAGCTCCACCCCCGCCATCCTCAGCGGGTGGCACTGGCCCGGCACGGGCAGCTGCCCGGCCAGGAGCCGGGGGCAGTGCCCTCCTCCCTTCTCTCCTCGCCCCCGGGCAAAGCACCTTTTCCGGTTCCTTTGTCCCAACTTAAATAGGGCAATTCGCAGAGGCACCAGTTGGCTCAAGCCCCAGGGGGGATGGGAGTCCGATTTGCTGGCCAGAACCGAGTCTGACCCCGCTCCAAAACCAGGGAAGTCACAGGGAGCAAATCCCCTCTCCTGCCACCAGAACCCCTTTACATCAAGCCATCGCACTTTGTCTCTAGATGCTTTTGATATTCTCTTATAATACTCTTTCCTAAATTAATCTGATACCCAAGCAATGCCAGCATTTCTTGAGTTTCAAGTCATTGTAGAGATTGTGATTTAGCCAAGTGCTCCCTTTATAATTTTTTTTCTTTACTTCTGCCTTAGCCTTTTCCTTTTCTGTCTTTCTGCATGTGCAGCTAGATGGTTTGTTGTGCTGTAACCAAATCAGTTTAAAACAAATTCAGGCTAAATTCAGGCTAAATTCAGGCTAATCAGCAAGTTCAGCTGAATAAGCTTTTCATAAATCAAATTCATAACCCTCCAAACTGCAGGAAAAATCCACCTGGTGGCACACTCTTGTTTCCAGATTACCCAGATCATGACAGGGGACCTGTCTGCAGCAGGCCACAATATCTTCCAGGGTGTGAGAAGTGATGGGTGTACACCCAAGTTTTGTGCCATTATAGAGCTGACAGGCAACCACAGTGCGTGCCAGGGAGACACTCGCAGCCCAAGCATTCAGGCGTAGCTTCGGGCGTCTTTATGCTGCACTGCTGTCGCTCCATCGACATGCCTTGTGGGAGGGCTTGGGGTCTATTGTTTAAGCAGCGTCCCTAAAAATCCTCTTTTTCATTTACTTTTACTTTACATATTACCCTCCTGTTTTCTGGTTTCCTCTAATGCTTAGAATGAATGTCTTTATTTCCTCCATTCTGTTATTTCCATAATGTTTGCCCATTCATATTTAGCATTTTACTCTGTCTTTTTTCTTTTCCTACTCTTTTAAAATTTCTTCTTACTTTTCCCTCAGTTTAGAGTCTCATTCACTGCTTCTCTTCTCCTTTTTCTGCCTATGGGTTGTTGTTCTTGGATATCCGTGATAGCTGTGTTCTATCATGATTAATATTAATTCGATGGGGAATTGTGCAAATACTGCAATATATAAAAGAAAGAAGCTGAAATGTAGAAGATGGCATACATTTTAGAGTGAGAACACTGCAGACCCAATCTGAATTTGCAATTTTTCATTTACATTGAAATAGGCATCCAAACATCCTTTTGATTTTCAAAGATAATTGGGGGGAACAGTTTTAATATCATAGCAGATACCACTCATAATATATTTTCAGTTCCTGGTACTGTTGAAAAATCAGTGCACTTCTACAGTTGCTAGGAGAAGACTTCAATGTTTACTGAAAGTTGAAACTTGAAAGGTACTTCCTTGACAACCTGTTTCTTACTTACATAAGCTGCTTAAATACTGTATCAGAATCAGGGCTGTGTTAATGGCAGCGATTTACTGTGTTTGTTTTTTTTTTTAAAGGAGGAGTGAAACATTTTGAAGTGTACAATGACTTTTACATCCATTAGTTATAATTAATAAAAAAAAAACTTATCTACATACAGCTACAGTAGAGCAATGTAGGTGTGCCACAGGGTGCTTCTTGCGTCTTATACACAGGCGCGTACTTGGTAACCCACGTAATTGGGTATGATTTTTTTTTAAAATGATTGTTCACCAAAAGCAACAAGTAGAAGTTACTAAACTAAAATTGTAGTATTTTCAGGAACTTCAGTGCTATGTTAGAAGAAATTCAGGTATGCTTATGTGAAGAATACTTAATAAATCAGAAATAATTGTCTACCTAGTGCTTTTCTTGCTTGTGCGATTCAAATGGATGTAGTTGTTGGCGGAGTTGTCTTGGTGATGATTTTTACTGGAAGTCTTTGTCATTCACTTTGCTATTAGATTTTCGAAGAGAGAATGTGCTGCCTCACTCTACCTCCAGATCCAGACTTACTTTATTGCTCCAGTCTCCCCCTGTGAAATTCCTTATAAGCCCAGAGTTCTTTACAGTGCTGCATTCTAACCCTGTGAGTATAGCTTCTACAGCTGAGAGACTTTCATAAATACATGCTTATAAATATAGTTGTCTTGTGTACAAAGATATTGCTCAGTGTTTGATGCTAAGATATTGGTAGTACATAGGGAGACTGGATAAATTCAAACACTCATCATCATTCCTTCCAACTGATGGGCCATCAAAGTCATCCTAGTTGGCATTATAGCTTCTATGGGTTTTATATTTTAACTCAGTTCTTCATCTTTCATATGATACAAAACTCATTTGTTTACCAAAGCAATAGCTTTCTTACTGTGCTTTGCAGAGGATGAGACAATTCTGAGAATGGAAAGGAAGCTTATTTTTTAAGATCACTTTGCTGCTTGTGGAATGATTTGTTTCCCCTAGATTGCCTGGTTGATATCAAAATATATTAGAAGTCACAGTGAACAAAAAAACATGTAAATATGTATTTTCCTTTCCTGTTTTGCCTGTTCTTCAGTGCTGCTTCTTACATAATTTTTTTTCCCGATGTTTTTTTTCCTTTGTGTAATGGGATATATAGTGTAAACAGAAATAATGGAATGAATAAGTATCTTTTAAAAGTATTTCCTTTTGTTTTTTATTTTTCAGAGTGCCTACCGCATGTTTACAAATAACACGTGTTTGAAGCACATGATCACCAAAGTCCGGCGGGACACCCACCATTTTGAGCGCTACCAGCATAATCGTGACTTGGTGGGCTTCCTCAACATGTTTGCTAACAAACAGCTGGAGCTGCCGAGAGGCTGGGAGATGAAACATGACCATCAGGGCAAGGTAGCTGTAATGCACATGCATCTCTGTTGCATGCTTGATCTTGGATGTTGCGATGTCAGGACTCGGTTGGTTGCTCCTAACAAGAGCATAAGTGCACGTAGTTCTCTAGGTGTAAAAGGTGCGCGTTGTTTTATCCTGCTTTTGCCAAAAGAAGATTGGAATTTCTCATCTGTGCTGACAAAGCATTATATGAAAGGAGGAGGAGACTGATAAATCATAGAATCATAGAATCTTACAATGGTTAGGGCTGGAAGGGACCTTCAA